AAGAAAAGATATGTGGTTATAAAGAAAGAATAAGAATAAGTAATGTGAACTGTTATAAATGATAATGCCCATGTTATGTGATATGAGAGCTAGGGGTATAGTTGGCATGCCAAGGGTCGAGGGTTACCTATGTTCTTCGGAACATATGGACTGTTTACCTATGTTCTTCGGAACATATGGACTGTTACCTATGTTCTTCGGAACAATGGACTGTTTACCTATGTCCTTCGGGACATATGGACTGATTACCTAGGTTTTCGGAATCTATGGACTGGTCCTTCGGGACATTGATCGAGCTGTGGTGACAGCATATGTGTGCACAACCTCAATGTACTCACATACCTTAAGTTCTCACTAGTGTACATGGGCTAATAAAGTGATTAAACAAGCATACTGAATGTGATATGTATACGTGGGGTTTAAGTGGTTTGAAATGTGTTACGTGAACCATATGATGTTGTGTGTGTAGTGTTTGATTGAAAATTTAACAATAAAAGTATGTGATTACATGATAAACTGTTAATGATGAATTATGTCTGTATGTATTTACTGTAATTAATCTGATATGATTTTATATGATACGAAGAATGCATGGAATTGCTATAACATGATAGAAAAGAACATGCATGTCGATATATGTTTTAAAGTGCATTATAAGTCGTTATGCCTCACTAAGTCTTCGACTCAGCGTGATTGTTTCACGCGTAGGTTTCGAGAAGAGTAAAGAGTAATGCGGCAAGACATGTCAGTTTTCCTTACCAAATGTCAGATCAGAAAATGTATGTACTGTTTACAGAGTGTAGTTTGGCATGTAGTCTAAAGATATAAATGGTATGAACTCTGATATCTGTTGTAAACGCTTTGAAATAAATTAAATGTTATCAAAGTTTTAAATTACCCACTATTTTATACGAATGAATGTTTAAAAAGTCAATGTGACACTTCGGACTCGTATCCGGGTCGGATACGGGTTGGGGTGTTACATTTAATGGTATCAGCTAAGGTTTAGCCGATTCTCGGCATAAACCGAAGTCCAAGTGTCATAAAAGGTGTACATGCCAACATAGATTGAAAAATTTCTGATCTGATTGTGTAAGGAGTATGTTGTCTTGCTAATAGAATAAGAATAGTTTAATACAGTAGAATCCGATCGTAATAATTCAAAGTAAGTGAAAGGTGATATTCCTGATTTATAGCTATTCACTTGCCCTGGCCAGGCAGGATGAAGAGCGTACACCTCAGGAAATGCCTAGTAAGATCAAAAGTTGATTTCAGAAAGCTGAAATCATATCTGAATAATGATAGAAAGTTTTCATCGTTTGAAATCGGAAAAACGATATAGAGTTATTATTGGATAAGATAGAATATGGTGAACGGGTGTCACCATAAGAATGTTAAAAAGATCTAAGGACGTGATGAGTACGTATAGAAGAACTTAAGGATAAGTGCATCAGTGACAAGTGTATAAGATGTATAAGTCAGAGCTTATAAGTTCAAATGAAGGAATAACATTGTGTATAAGCAAGAGCGTTTATATGATAAGGGTTTGCAGTTAAGACGGAAAAGTTAGCGTTAGCTAACGAGAATATGCGATGGGAATGTACTGGAATTATAAGATTATAAGATATTGTCAGGATATGAGAACCAAATCCGTAATGGATCTGGATACAGTTGCATATTTGGATCATAGTAATGTGGTATAGTAAAGGAAAAGAAAGTAAGAATTTGTATATTTAAGTAAAGCTGAGGATTGATAAGAAGAGTTTGAGAATATGTATATCGATGATCAGATTATAGGACACAGGAAGTCAGAATGTTGAGTTTGAGTAAAAGAAATTTCAGGATGTATGAGAATAGAGGTGAAATTGATAAGTTGAGTAAGCGAATGTTAAGATAATTTAGATTGGAAAGAATGTATATGATTGGTATAAGAGGCTTGTGCCCTAGACTGAACCAAAGTTATTATCTAGCTGTCAGAGTAAAGGTGCTAGAGTTATAAGATTGGAGGAAAGATATAGTGGAGTTAATTGATTATGATATGAATTTGAATATAATTGTATATTCTGAGCAGATAGCTATGATGTAGAAACAGAGATAAGTATTTGCATGGAACCTTCAGGAAGGAAAATACAAGTATAAGAAATGAAAGGATTGATTTAAAAGAATCGGATACGATAAATATGGAAGTACAGAGGACAGTTTTGATATAGTGATGAGATGAATGTTATTGTCAACGTGATGAGTGACATTATATGGAATTTTAGAAAGATCAAAGGAAAAATGCATAATCGAATGAGAGAAAAGACAACAATGGATTGGTATTACTGGTTATTGCTTATATGATAAACAACAGAAGATGAAGGTATAAACGAAAAAGATAGTCGAAAAACTAAGGGATTGAAAAGTAAGTTTCTGATGATGACAAGAAAGAATAAGTCAGGGAAGCAACATAAGAACATTAGAAGATATGTTCCTATTAAGATGTGCAGTGAAAATTCGAGGACGAATTTTCTTATAAGGAGGGGAGATTTGTAACATCCTCAATACCGGGTTAGTGATCAAATTGTAAAGTTTCATAATTTGATGACTAAAATAGAAGAATGAAATAGCTCTATGATTATTAGATGCATATGATGAAGGTTATTTTGTAATTGTTAAAGGAAATAAAGGGTAAAATGGTCATTTGATCATTTAAGGAATTATATACACGTGGGAAGAGAGCTATCTGGAAGCTTTCTTCTTCTTGCCTTCTCTTCTTCACGTGGGGCTAGCTTCAAAAGGTAAGTTCTTTGTTTGTAAATGAATTGTTGATTTTAAGGTTGAGTTTTGATTATTAGATGATAACTAAGCTTAAGGAAAGCTTAAATCATCTTAAAAACAAATGATGGAGAGGTTAAGAGAGATTAAAGATTTGGAGTTTTTATATGAAATTTTGGAAAGGAATTGATAAGTAGAATTTGAAGTTAAATTTGACTTGTCAATGGTTAAATTAAGAGATTTGGAGTGTTAGAATTGGAATTAGAACACATTGAAAATTTGGTATGATTTTTGAATCTCATATGGAAGATAGGATTTTGAGGTTTAAGATGAAATAAATGAATATAGATTGGTTTAAGTATGTATACTAGAGTTAAGAATGAAAAGGGGATGATATATGAAGGGTTTGAGTGGAAATGAAGTATTTTCGGGTTGAAAATATGATTTTCTGGGCAAGGGGAATCGGTACCCATTCAAGGGGAACCGATACCCCTTCAAACGACAGAATTCCAGAATGTCTTGAGGGAATCGATACCCCCATGGTAGGGAACCGATTCCCCCTAAAGAAAAATGTTAATATTGGTTTAATAAGTTTGTTTAAGTTGCTAGTATTCAATTACAAGGTGTAGGTATCTAATGATTACCTCGAAATGTACATTTATGTAGATTCTACGCATAAAGAATTCCGGAACGTTTGGCAAGTAAGATCGATCAAGGGGAAAGATAAGAGATTGGAATTGACTAGTGAGACCAGGTGAGTGCATATTAATTAGTTTATGGTGCTAAATGGAAACAAGACTTGCGACAAGTCTATTTCCTCTGTTAGAATGCATGAATATATGATTATACGTATATGAATGACATGAATTGTATGTATGCATGATTATATGTGTTAACATGCTTTTGAATGTAATGTTATGAGAAGTATGTGATATGTAATGTATATATATGAACATATGTGAAACTGAACTATGTGACTGCATGATAAAGATATGAGCCATATGACATGATATATGTGAACATGAGAAAACAAAGTATAAGATATGAACTATGTGATCCTATGAGAATATGAAAAGAATCTATGTGATTGCATGCAACATATGATATTAGATCAATGATTACACGTACATGTGATACGTGACTGAAAAGAAAAGATATGTGGTTATAAGAGAAAGAATAAGAATAAGTAATGTGAACTGTTATAAATGATAATGCCCATGTTATGTGATATGAGAGCTAGGGGTATAGTTGGCATGCCAAGGGTCGAGGGTTACCTATGTTCTTCGGAACATATGGACTGTTTACCTATGTTCTTCGGAACATATGGACTGTTTACCTATGTTCTTCGGAACATATGGACTGTTTACCTATGTCCTTCGGGACATATGGACTGATTACCTAGGTTCTTCGGAATCTATGGACTGGTCCTTCGGGACATTGATCGAGCTGTGGTGACAGCATATGTGTGCACAACCTCAATGTACTCACATACCTTAAGTTCTCACTAGTGTACATGGGCTAATAAAGTGATTAAACAAGCATACTGAATGTGATATGTATACGATGGGGTTATAAGTGGTTTGAAATGTGTTACGTGAACCATATGTTGTGTGTGTATAGTGTTTGATTGAAAAGGTTAACAATAAAAGTATGTGATTACATGATAAACTGTTAATGATGAATTATGTGTCTGTATGTATTTACTGTAATTAATCTGATATGATTTTATATGATACGAAGAATGCATGGAATTGCTATAACATGATAGAAAAGAACATGCATGTATCGATATATGTTTTAAAGTGCATTATAAGTCGTTATGCCTCACTAAGTCTTCGACTTAGCGTGTGATTGTTTCACGCGTAGGTTTCGAGAAGAGTAAAGAGTAATGCGGAGCAAGACAGGTCAGTTTTCCTTACCAAATGTCAGATCAGAAAATGTATGTACTGTTTACAGAGTGTAGTTGGCATGTAGTCTAAAGATATAAATGGTATGAACTCTGATATCTGTTGTAAACGCTTTGAAATAAATTAAATGTTATCAAAGTTTTAAATTACCCACTATTTTATACGAATGAATGTTTAAAAAGTCAATGTGACACTTCGGACTCGTATCCGGGTCGGATACGGGTTGGGGGTGTTACAAAACTGTAGTGGATCAACCAGTGTCAAATTTTCATATGCTTTACCCTTATTCCCACTTGCATGGCTATTTTGTAACTGCATACTACGCTTTTTCCAAAATTAAAATGGAACTATGCTGGCATAGGGCTGTAAAACATGTCTGAACAGACAAGATTTACTAGCCAAGTATAAATTAAAAAATTTAAATAAAAGCAGTGAAAAGCTACCTTTTGAAGTGCAATAGGGACTGCTTTGGCTTTGGCTTTTGCATATCCAACAACACCATGATAGTTTCCACACGCCATCAAAGCGGTGTATTTGACCACTTGCCCTCCCTTTGGATGTGTTACATGGAAATCAATGTAACAACAAAACAAATTCAAATGGCATGATATTACCTTTGTTACTTTACAAGTTCGGTTTACGTCTATCAACCTCACATCAAAACCCTGCCATCATTCAACAAAAACCAAGTTAGTTACATGCGAGATGAAACTGTTTGAAAAACAAAAACTTGCTACATGAAACGATACGATGCAAATATATATCATCAAATGAGTCATACTTGTAATGCTTAAAGTTGTATTGAAAATTAATGTACAGACCAGTAAAGGAGGGAGTCAGAACGCAGTACCATGAATATGTGCATTCACATAATCTAGAGAATATGATGAATAAAATTCGGTTGAAGGAAGTTCAATTTCTCAATGCTATAACCTATTTTAATGACAAAAGGGAGTCAAAGAGGAGAACTGCAAATAGCAGAGCCTGCCTATGAAAAGCATGAATATGAATAAAATATACATATATAAGAAAATGTAAGAATAATATAAGCTTAGAATTATGTTCCTCAACCATTTCAAAAATAACTGATATGTTTGACCTTTGAAGCAAAATAAATGAAGGAGCTCTAGCATACACTTACCTTTCTGTAAAGAGGTCATCTTTTTTGTTAAAGGATTTCTTTCCTCTGCAAGGTCTCTGATTTCCTCCTCTAGAAGCTTTCCCTTCCAGCTGAATGTATAATCCAACTCTGCTAGCTTCTCTTCCAGTTTCTTGTCAATAGCATTGAGCTTCTTTAATAGTATGTTATACTTCCCTTTCATGTCATCAAATTCTTCTTTATCCTCATCCCCACTAGCTTTTCTTATTATTTTCTTCTCATTCTCCTCTTCAGCTTCTTCCTCACGATCAACAGAAGGGCCAACTTGATGATCCTTCATAATTCCATAATTGGCAGGATTATTAGGATCGTAGGCTTCCTTCCATTGAAGGAGTCTCATTGCCCTATTCAATTTTTGCTTAAGGATAAATTTCTCCTCGAACTTGTCAATTTTATTCATCCATTTAAAAGCATCATCGAGTGTCACAGTCAAATTTAGAAATGTAACTTGTCAACAATGGACCAATTGATAAAATTTCATAAATATCACTTACAAATCAAAATTTTAGCTGCAATTAATGTATACATGTCATTTTTGTGTCTTTTGTCGATATAAATTTTGAGACATTCATGAATCCCTCTAGTATTCGAGTTTTTTTGTTTGAGTGTTTCATTTTTCTCGATAGAGTGTCAAATATTGTCAACTCTAGTGTGTTTTAGTGCAATAAGCATTCTACACAATGTGCACCCATATACATGTTATACTAGCATTAGTACGCGTAAATAAGCAACGCAACAACTAAAACAAGGCTTGTTCATTTACCTGACTCGCAGAAGTTCTTTAGCAACTGTTTATGCATCTTTTGTTTCCTCTCAAATTGGTTTTCCCACTTCTCGTAATTTCCCTCATCCTCGTTTTCGGAATCCGAATCCATGGGCTGCTCAAATGATATACGAAAATTCTTTTCCTTTAACGCCCTCTTTTCAAGCTTCTCTATCAGTGGCATAACACCCATATAATCTTCTTTGTCCTCTTCATCAATATCCTTTTCATCCAAACCTTTTCTCTTCCTATCATCTTTTTCTTGCTGCTTCTCGAGTTCTATTTCAGCAAATACATCAGCCAAAAGATCATCATCGTGTAGCTCGTCGGAAGAGAAGTCTCTAGAGAAATGCCATCTCGTAAAAGAAAGTGGAGATTTTGGTGTTTGGTTGTAGCGGAAATAGGAAAATGTCGAGACACTTTGGCAGAATGAGAAATGGGGTTTAATGGGGGTTTTTAGGAATACGGTTTGAGTAATGAGTGTTCGGCAAAATATTCGTAGAGATTTCCCATGTAAAAGAAGGCGGAGTTTTAGATGGGTATTGAAAGGACCGGAAAAGAAACCTAAACCATGAAGATGGCTGTGATTTCGTTGACATTTTTCTTTTCCATTAGTTTAACAAACGGGAAATATAAACAAACCTGGAAAAAGACAAATAAGAAAGAAAATATGAGAAAGTTTTGCGACCAGGTAGCTTTGAAAAAGAAACAAAGGAGACAGAGCAAGGATCAGTAGGATCGAAAACAGAAAATGCAATATAACATAGTGGAGCAGAGGCAGCGAACCGAGCTAGAACTCTAAATCTCAAGAGTCTACTCAAGTTCAGGGTTTGAAACATTACCTTATGCTTGGGATGAAATATAAGACGAAACTGGAGCAGAGTGGTGGTAAAAGGCTTCTCTTCCAGCTAGGGAAACATAAGAGCATCTTCGGAGCTGCTTATTATTTGAAAAAGAACTTTGTTTATCATTTGGGAAAATGATCGGATTTATTATTCAAATAAAAACTATTTAAGCTTCTTTGTTTTTTAATTCTTTCAATTCAATTCCATCAAAATTGATGAATAAATACACTTATTGTAATAAAAAGGTTAGTTTATTCGGTGGTATTCATCGTTTTCTTAATCAATAGTGAAGGCTGAAAAAACTAGAATCAAAGCTCCATTGTAAAGGCGGATAAAGTAGAATCATTCTTCATCTCTCAAATACGATACATCCAGACATGGATAGTAAAACATGAGACTCCCAGATACATTCACCATTGTCCGAGTAACATAGCAGGAGCATACGGATCAAAATGGAAAGAATTTCAGCTTCAACGTTTATGAGATATAAAATAGTATAATTTACCACTACTTAGATCCTCGCAAATACGATATAACCATTCTTCGTGTTGCAGGCAGGTGCATTGGATATCTCAGTAACATGGTCAGATAGGAAGAATGGGAATGGAAGACAAGCAAAACAACCGCTACAAATTATATGTATGCAAAGCAAAATAAATGAGCGTGGTCCGGATGAGCATTTGCTTATAATGACCTCACTAATTAAGTGAACTATTTGACTACATATTTCTTGTCAAACACCCTATACATAATCCCAAGCCAACATTACGCGATCCTCCCATAGTCCTTTCTTCCACGAGAACCTGGTGGAATATTTAAGACGGGGTGGTTAGCCCTACGCCCTACATTAACAATGCCAGGATTGAGTAAAACAGAATCAATTTATTCTATTCCCTAAATTATCGAACAATAATTATATAGTTTCGACACACGTAGGTCTGTGAAGTTACTTGGCAAAGTACGAGGTAACTAAAAGAGATTTTGATAGTGTAAAGTTAGGAAGTACCCCATGGCATGCCATTGCTGAATGTGCTATTTCCAGGAGAACGTGGCCCCCCAGAGTTAAAGCTAGAAGGGGGGAGCTGGATTTTCATCTGATTCCATTCGCTACCCCGAGCACCAGTGGATCTGCCGTGACTGAACCGCTGCACAGTTTGCTGCCCCAAACGGCTAGGAGAATTTTGTGTCGTATGTGGCATGAAGTGAGAATGCTTTGACAAATAACGCGGATCTCCGGCTTGTAAATCATTAGTTGAAGGAGGGCTACCCACTTCTACATGTGAAAATCCTATAGGTACATTTTGTCTGCACTCAAACAATATATAAGTCAAGAACAGTGTTGAGCACTTCAAATGAAAAAAAAAATTAGCTCCATCTGAAACTGTAGTGCATATCCATCTCTATAATGTACAACACATATTGGACTACGTCAGTCACGTGGAACATAACCGTCAACTATGTAAATTTCAATAGGGAGAATAAAAGGCATGCATATAAGAAAAAACTAAAATCGTGTTGAAAGGAAAATGAAAAATAAGATAATAATTGACTCGAACATGTACATCTTGAAACCAAGTCAACAAAGAGAAAGGGACATTCACCAATAAGGTTATGCAATTACCTTTGAATTGATAAATTTGAGCATGTGGTTGAGAGACGGTTGAATCTTCCAACTCCAACAGATGAATCAGCCAAACCAATATGCATTCCTCTGTTAAAGTCAGCTGATAAGCAGCTCTCTTCTGATCCATCCTCTTGTAGAAGTAGCTCATCACTATGGTGAAAACAAACACAAGAAATATTGTCTTAGGTATATGCCAAATGTTGCAACTAGAGCTGATTTTAGGAGTACCATGAATTCCTGATGCAGCACAAAAGAATTTTGTGGGACAAAAACCAATATGGCACAACTGATAAAACACCCATGGATATGTTCTAGGCTAACCATGCAATAAAATATTGAGCCAATAACCCGTTATTTTGTGGAAGTAAAGTCCTTGATGAGAATAGTTTGAACATAAAACAAAGAAGCTTCCAAATGTATGACATGCAATGATAAGTTGTGAAACTATTGAAAGAATTGTATGCCCAGGCATGACAAACATCTACTCTTCTCACTGAAAGGAAAATGATCAAGAAGTATATTATTACAATCGAACAATAATACTGCAACAAATAATAAAGATCAAGAATCATACTTTGTGTATCAAGATGCCCTCATTTTCTCTATCCCTTATTATAGAATTTTATAAAAGCAAGGCTACTGTAAACACTGCAAACATCAGTATACTAAAGAATATCTCCATCCTTTAGGCAGTGTACAGCAGAGGCCCGAAAAGGCAGCTGCATTCAGCAGTGCCCACATGTTGGGCACTGAAGAAACCCTTCAGAGGGTAAAGAACAGCAAAGACAATATTTTTATGGGTTGTCCCCAGATCCAATGGACAATTTTTTATATATTAAGAGAAACAAATAACATAGATAATACAGCTAAGACAAAGTATATCTCAATGTTTGATGAACATGAATTTAGACTCCAGTTTCAAGTTCTCTACTCACCTATAATTTGGATCCCAATCTCCAGGATCAGGCAATGGCTCGCTGGCCTCTGACTTGTCTTGAGTTGTTCCTGTGCTACACTGCATTTGCAAATTAGAACCAAGTGCGATGGAGTTCGGTATATTCTGAGCGGTTGAGTAGCCTGTAGCCATTCCAATGCCACTTAGCTGTTGGTTCCAGTTGGTTGTGTTAGAATTTGACGGTATGTTAGAAGGGCAACCACCGATCACTTGAGAGTGTCCCTCAGCTTGGATAGAAATGGTGCCATCGGTTACTTGTCCTTTCCAGTTTGAAGATGATGAACTCTCTTGAGATTGAGAACTTCCAGAATATCCCCAGCCTTTTCTTCTATTAAATTGGCCAGCTGTAGCCATCTTACTTAAAGGTGATCCCTGACAACTGTTTCTCGCAGGAGAAGTAGGACCATAGTGCCCGGAAGAACCGCCTGAAACTTGACTGTAGGAGCTTGGAGGAGTAAATTGAGAGGGACTAGTGCCAAGGGGAAGTGGTGCAAAGTTTCCAGCTGATGGACTCACACCAAGTCCTGTACCCTGAGAGTACTGCATATATCTCCATCTGGCATCAGGACTACTTCCAAGCATTGATGCACCGCTCTGTGGATGCATGTTCATTGCAGACGGACCAACAGGTGAATAATATGCAAACATGTTACTACTATCTCCGTAACTCCCATAGCTGCTTCCAAGTCCAGTATTATCATTATAGCTGCCATGACTTCCTATACTGCCATAGCTATTTGCATGACCGTACGGCATCATTTGGAAATGTGGACTGTTATGAAAGGGAATCACGTTCCTGTTATGAATCTATACAGTTGAAAATATACATCAGTATAAGACTACTATTAAAATAATGCTGAAAGTCTATTGCTCTAGAAATAAAAATGATGGATCTTTTTAAGCATACATTAGGGGAAAGACCAGCTGCAAACCAATGCCCTCCACCAGGGTGATGATCCACCTTGATATTGTGAGCAACAGGCTACCAAGAAAAAGGCAGATATTAGGCAAGTATCTTTTGATCTTCTCTTCCCCCCCCCCCAGAAGATAACAGATTAGTGTTTCTTATTGTAAAGCTTGTTATTCACAAGAACAGATTGCTACAATTGAAAAGCAGTGCAACCATGAGAAGACCAATAAAGCCCAATCTTTCACTACCGGCCAGAGGATTTTTTAACTCACATACACACAAAGGACATTGAAATTTTACCAAATGATTGCTAAAATTTGTTCAAACAAGCACAAAACTCTATGTCGAATTATTTTCAACAACCTTAAAACTTTTTATAAAAAAGAGAGAAGTTCCTAGAAAATAAAATAAGATAATACCGTTGTTCAGAAAAATACATATAGTAATCAGGATAGGAATAGACAATCCCTCTGTATGCTTGGTGCCAAGAATAGAATAAAAGCTACATAGTTAAATGAAATAAGGTTCAACACTCTTTAATTGCAGAGTTACACACATAGGTCCCATACCAATCGAGGGGTCCCAGGGGGAGGTCTGTATGGGCATGTGAAAGGTTCCCCAGTAACAAAAGGGTGTTTTGAAGCCTGCAAGATGAACTTGAAACTCTTACTATTGCTTCATATTTAGCTGGATAGCATGATAGAGGAGCGTTCAACTGAAGTTTCAATTACCTGGAAAGGTGACCACCGTTTTGCTGGATCAAACTCAACTAGTCCCCTCAGGAAATCAATCAAAGCTAATCGTGTTTGACCCTCTGTTATAGATTCATTACGCAACAGCTTTGGTAAGTTCTAAACAGATAGTAGTCACACACTGCAGACATTTTCCAACAATGGAAGCCGGACTTTCAATGTAGAAGTCAGATGCTAACCTTTAATGATATCCTCTTCAGGCAAGTTTTTCCGGTAAGGATAATTTGTAACAATTGCTTCAAGGTTCTTATGACCGAAATACTCTTTCCCCATCAATGGTTTTTTTAACTCCCTCTGAACAGAAACAAGCAACAATGACTATCAGATTAAGATAATTGACAATAGATGTAACATAGAAAATAAAGAAAAGTCATACAGAAATTTTTATTCTTTCACTACTTTCATATAGTTGTCTTCAGGGCCAAATATATGAACACTTACAGCTTCAAATTCTTCTTCCGTTAATTCTTGGTAAGCACTACTGCCACCAACTTCACCATTCTCTATATTGTGTATACTCCCAACGCACTTAAAAAACTTAATTGTGTTCTTTGCCTCCTTTAGAACATAATCAGGGGGTTGTGATCTACAACAAGAAAACAATGCATACAAAAGGCTGTTCACAACGAGTGCAAAACTACAACTGAATCAGTATTAATGCTAAAAATTCTTATTTTGGTTTATAGATTATCAAATAAAAACCAGGTTTATTGGGATAAGGAGAAATAAGATTATATGAAAACATTAAGAAAA